AGGAGATCTTCCTTGAAAATGTATGTACAAGAGGGGTAATAGAAAACATGTTGGGACAATATGCCTTTGGATTTTTGCAAACCTTGAGAATGTCATCTGCACTATGCCTCCTCCCCAAACTGATTTCAACATTACCTCCAGCACTTACATTCTGTGAGTTGACTCCCCGGTGCTTACTCTTACCTAACATTTTCTTTTCAGCACTGCTTAAATATAGATGAGGTCGGTCTGACACAAAAAGACACAGTTATTTAGTTCTTTCTTATTGATGAAATTATCACAAAGGCTGCAAAGGCAGCACTTTATAGATGATAAATAGCCTGACTGCCAAGCCTGGGAATCTGCTGCTAAAGAAAAAAAACACCTTAACCTTTACTTGGTTTCAGAATGACTTCTCTAATAGCAGGAGGCCTCGTTTGCTTCTTTAGTCTCCCATGAACTTCAAGGATGCCGTTTATTAAACACAAACAGTCCAAAAATACCACAGGAAAAAGACAGCACAAACAGTGTCTGGAAGAAGAGAATTAGCAGAGCAGACTCATTCAATAGTTCTTCTGGGAAGCAATGACATTCAAACTTCAATTATATCCAGTGGCGCAGGGATAAATTTTGGAAAGCAGGCCCTCATCAGGACAGTCCTTTTAGGATTGCCCAACACAGAGAGTCCAAAAATGCAAGCAAGTGTGTCAATCTGTCTTGAAAACAATAATAATTTATTCTAGCATCTTTTTTAATCTCTATTAGGAATAGATCCTTTGTAAAGCTAATGCATCTTGTTTGCTCAAGCTCAAGAGATCCTAAAATACTTTGTATTTCAACAGGACCAGTGAACAGCCATGCCTTGTTGATGGGACAATCAATCCCTCCAATTTCCAGCTACTGTAGGTTTGCAGCTAAACTCAAAGGGAACATGGGAATCCAAGTATATGGTGATATATGATACCACTGTTTCAGTTAATCCAAAGTTATTGGCACTTGGAGTGCATGAGCCCTGGCTCCACTACACCACTGGTTATATCACAACTAAGGAACCTGGGACCTTGAGATATTAGTGAACCACTATATCCATTTTTCAACAATATTTTTAAATCCATATTCTTCTTTCATAATTTTATCTAATAAAAAGCATACAACTTGCCAGTTTCGCATTTGTGTTTTCCATTCTTCTTAAGAGCACATACTCTTAACTGTCTTATGTCTAATATTTACAAATACTATGCTTGCTCTTTCTATTAATAGCTTAATTCTATTTCTTTGTATTTCTTACATTATTTGCTACTTTTTGATCCATTTCTCTAATGAAGAAAAAAAACCTCTTCGAAATACATTGACACAATTAATGGAATTTATTTTAGGGCTGAGTTTTATACTATTAAGTGTTACATCCCACTTGTTGAAGACTAATGGCCTAGACTATCTATAACACACATTTTGCCAAAGAGAGGTCTGCTAGTTATCCAAAGTTATTCGACATTCCTCTCCGTCACTCCTCATGAACTAAATTCACCAAAGCTTAGGAGTCATTGTGAAGGAATGAGAAACTAATATGAAGGAATTAGAATTTTTTTTTTCTTTAGCCTCCAAATAAATGTCTAATAAAACAGCTCATGAAAGCAAAACTGACAGCGAAGGTACAGTTAATCTTAGACGGTGGGATATGCTTCCTAAAATGATGGAGAGGAGACAAAACACATGCATCTCTTTCTCCAGAACTTGACTGCAGCCTGATTCAAAAGTGCAATATTAGTGATTTAACATGAGTGAAACACATTTTTATAATCTTTATCAAATGTTCAGTTACTGGACCAGCATAATGTGCAGCTTATTAAAATGGATAAGAGCAGGGTTATGGGATTCACATTGTCAAGAGAAGAAAAAGGATTTAAAAGACAGATTTCTTTAATGTGTCACTCAAATGGCTTGCCACACGCTATGGCTGGGACAATGTATGGACATCGAACTTTCAATTAGATGGGGCCTGGCAAAGAGTAGAATAAAAGCACGGAGGTTTCAGCATCACCTTTTGACATTCTTATCGCAATCAGATGGCAAGATTTGCAGGGCTTGGTTCAGCTACACTGATGCTAAATGTTTAAGGAGGTATTTTTTTAATGGGATGTCTTGAGATGGTTCACCCACCCATTTTTGCTTCATGTATTAGGATCACTTTCTTCACCTCACACATAAACCTGTCTATCATCTATGATTTTTCCTTGGTCTGATAGAGACAGTCCTGATTAATCCTCTGCCATCCCATTTTTTCAGCTGCTTTTAAAATGAACCAGTTTCTCTCCACTCCTTCCATTATTCCTCTCTGGTCTAAAACACACTGCAAAAATAACCCAGTTTGAAACCCCTTTAACTGCCCTGGCTCAGTGCTAGGGAATTCTGTAGTTTTGTGAGACATTTAGCCTTCTCTGCCAGAGAGCTGTGGTGCCACAATAAACTACAATTTCCAGGATTCCCTGGATTATTGGAACTGGATTATTGCTGCAGTGTGTTTTGGATCTTGGTCCTCAGTAGTTGCAAACTGAATTCAAGGTGCAAAAGTATTTTATGTACAGTTGACTCAGTAGCAGGAGCTAAAGAGAAGAGGGCCGAGTCTTGCCTTTCCCACTAGCTCAGACAAAAGCAAACTTTTCCTAGCATATATGTCCTTCCTCATTAATCACCTTTGATATCTTGACCACACTCCGATGTTGCTTAGTTGCACGCATATTTGTTTTCATCTGCAAAATATTGGACGGTGTGATTGTATAGCCTACCACCAAAAAATACAAGCAGTGGTAAATACAGAGAAAGGACTTTCTCAGTAGAGATCTTTCTGACCAGAGGCAAGTTTGGTTCCTTCTTTATTGCATCTTAGACCTAGTGTTGTTGTTGTGTGCCTTCAAGTTGCTTTTGACTTATGGCAATCCTAACAATGGGGTTTTCTTCAGATCTTCAGAAGATTTGTTCAGAAAGAAGTTGCCTTTGGCTTCCTCTGAGGCTGAGAGAGTGTAACTTGCCCAAGGCCAGTAGGTTTCCATGGTCAAAGAGGGATTCAAACCCTGGTCTTCCTCTAAAACAAGATCTCTCCACAAGGATGTTTTGGATTACAACTCCCATTAGCCCCACTCAACCATGGCCAGTCAATGAGAATGAAATAGCAAAAGCTGTAGCCCCAAATATCTGGAGGGAAAAAAACATCCAAGAGATAGACCTGTGTCTTTTATTATCTTTTTAAATAAATGTAACTGTATATGCTTTGCGCACCATTTCACTTCTGTGGTAATATTGTGGCCTGACAAGGCTTTAATTTAGTCAGTTGCGGTTTCTGCAGAAATTTTATGCATGAAATCTTTGACTAATTATAAATGTTGTGCTTCCTTAACCATATGAAATGGAGAGTCTGGTGCCAGATATGGGTTTTACTGATGCATCCTTATATTTAAAGCAGATGCTACATATACTGTGATACCCCAAGTGGGTGTAAATGATACTATCACACATATTATGCCTTTTTCTCTTGATAATATTTCAAAGCTTGTTTTTCCAAACAAAATTCAAGGATGTAAAGTTTCCTACAATGGGATCGTTCTAAAGCCAAAAACAAGGATCACTGATTCCTTTTTATTTCTTCAATCTATACAGGGTATGTTCTTGCACAAATGAACATCAAGATTTTATTTTATTTTTACACACACACAAAAAAAAACAAATCTTAAATAAAATGCAAGTGGTGAGAGATTGGTATTGGACTTTCAAAGCTTTTGTTCACAGTTTTTTCTCTCTCTCTCTTTTGAAGGAAAAAAAACCCTCTTGCCAGCTTGGGTTTAGATAGTTAATTTCTATTGTATATGATATGGTTGTTGTTTTGTGCCTTAAAGTCATTTCCAACTTATGGCGACCCTAAGGCAAACCTATCATTGGGCTTTCTTGGCAAGAGAGGGCTTGCCATTGCCATCCACTGAGGCTGAGAGTATGGGACTTGCTCAAGGTCACCCATGACTTAATGGCAAATAACAACAGCTACAACTTGGAGTGTGACAGCTTCAAGTTGGTTGAAGGTGTGAGAGATGTACCTCTGCGACCATCCAGAAGCCATTCATAGTGCCCTCCAGCCTCTGTTGCCCAGCCTGGGAAAATATGTTGAGTAAGGAATTATTGGATACCTCCTTGTGCAACATCTGTGAATCCACTTGCATTGGCAAAGTCTCTAGCTGCACCAGCACAAATCATTGAGAGGATTCCAGTTGCAAAGGGTGAAGCTTGGATACTCTGCTCTCATGATTTGCTTTTCGATTTCCCCAAATAGGTGTTTACAAATATCAAGGGACAATCCTCACTAAGAATCTTAACTTTCCTCTTTATTTATTCTGAAAAACTCCCAAGGTCAAATTTCAGCAAGCCATTCCCCCCCCTCCCCACTTTATAATGTTGATGAAATTCTCACTACCACCCCTTGTTATTTTCCTCCCAAATATTGATTTTTTTTAATGGAACAGAGGAATTCCTTGAGACATAGAGCACAATATCAATCATGCAATTTATTTTGACATTGAGTTGAATGCAACTCCTGGCATGGAAGAAGAAGAGATGATGCTTTTGAAGGTGACAATCTTTCCTCTAAAAAGCATTCACAGCACAGAATGGGACAGATGTCACCAGTTATTGTTATTCATTGAATATTGTGTGTCTGGATCAAGCTGCCATGTGCACGCATGTACTACATGTGAATATAATTTCTTTAATTGTTTTCCTTAAATGTTTCCTAGACACGATTGTCAAAGTAGCTGTCATATTGTTACAAGTGAATGCATTAATTAAAACAAATGCATTATAATCAAGAAAGCAATACCTGTTATTGTTCTGTGCCTCCAAGTCATTTCAACTTATGGAGAGTCTAAGGTGAACCTGTCAGCCTTTTTCTGGCAAGATTTTGTTCAGAGGGAATTGTCTTTGCCTTCCTCTGTGGCTGAGACAGTGTAATTTGCCCAAGGTCACCCAATGGGTTTCCATGGCTGAACAGGGATTCAAACCTTAGTCTTCAGGGTCATAGACCAATGCTCAAACCACTGTACCATGCTGGCTCTAAAACAATGCTCAAAGTCAACAATGTAACCTAAAAAAACAGATTTAAGAGCTCGCTTACATATAAAAGCAAGACGAGCAATGGAACAAAAGCAAAAGAAATTGTTTCAGCACTTTCTACTCTTGTTTCATAAGTAAAGCAAGTGCAGCATATAAAACAATAACTGAAAATTCACTTCAGTCTTAGGTACTGCCAGATAAATGTGCATCCTTCAGTGCTTCAATATTTAAATATTTGAATGTTAAAACAAAATAATAATAAAAATAATTTGGTTCCATTTTTTTAAAAAACAAAACAAAACATAACCTCTCTTCCTCCCATATGATGGAGAATCAACAATGCCATTTATCTTCATAATTTAGTTCTTAAATTACTGAGTCTTAAGTGACAACTTTTCAAGGTAATTATGCAGCCGGCTTAATATTGATATTACTGGAATATGAATTTAACTAGTTTGTCCCACTGTGTTTCAGATTTGCTAATGTTCAGTACTGTGCAGTAATTGAATTACAGAACATTAGCAGTGTGATTACTGCGATCATAAACTACTATCAAATGCATTCAAACTCCAGACATGGTTATTTAAAAGTCATAATATCCTTTCCATATTCCATTGTTTCACATACTCTTTCAGAGACTCAGCTCTGATCATAAGATTATATCCGCACAAGTGCTCCTGTCTGATTTTTTTTCTTCTTGTTTGTAAACATACTTTTTCATCTGCTCGAGTCATATCCTTTCTTTATTGCACATAGTTTTTTGATAAGTTTTAGAGTCTTTCATATCTATAGGTGCATCTTGTTAATGTTTCAGTTTTGCACAGATCATCTTGGCTGGCATCTCGTTCATGACATTTGCACACATAAGTGTGGCTTACATGTGCATGTATCCCTTTTTGGATGGGCTACAGGAAGCCATTTTCTTTACCTTGTATCTTGGTGAGAAATGTAGGGAAGGGGAAGAAAATTCAGAAATGAAGACATTGCTTCTCAGGGCTCCTGGGGAAAGAAAGAAGAGAATGTGTATCATCAGTAAGTATGCCCTTCTTTATTTCACCACCACCCAGCTGAGTCCAACTGCTATTTCACAGTCTGAATCACTCCGGCTGTGTCCGCACTGCAGAAATCATATGGTTTAATACCTGACAGAATAAACATGTATTCATAAAGTGATGAAATGCAGGGGAAGCAGTCAAATTCCCTGAAGCAGAGTCCCATAATCTGGATGCAACGTTTCCTGGTGAATTATCTCTGAAACCTGGGCTGCTGACACACTGCAGAATTAATGCAGTTTGATAGCACTTTCTGCAGTGTGAATGCAAGCCTCATCTCTCCCCTTTCCACTGAAAAGCAGTAGCCTTTACCAGGTCTCAACACCTGTAGGAAGGAGGGCATGGAACTACCTAGGTGGAGCTGCAACCAATATATGCTCTTGGTCTATGTTTGTGGTAGTCTTTTATTCTTGAAATGGTTTGGTATACCCTTAAGATTGTTTGGTATATAGTGATAATTCTTGTTCCATTAAGTACATGCATGGGACTGACTGAATTTCCTGATCATGTTCCCTTATATATTCTCAAACATTTTGATTACAAAGAAAAAATTGATAAGCCTCCTGAACTGAAATACAGATCATTTAAAACTTCAAGGATGGCTGAAATTATAGGACAATTCCTTTGGTAGACAATGAAAGAAAGAAACAACTGAGCTGTTGCAGAAATCATGCCCTACCATGTTGAAAAAGTTAAGCATAATTTGAACACACATATATGTATAGGTCTTTCATTTTGGTTGCATGTGTGCATGTATGTTTTTCCTATTTATATTGGTGGTGATGGGAGATATCCATGGGATGATCCTACTGTAAGTCAATCTGATCACACAGTAGGTACATCTGATTTAAACCTCTTCAATTAATACTTGAACAAGTATACAGTTTGCCTTTGCTTTTTTCATATTTCTGATTTTTCCAATGAAAGTTTCTGTTTGTTTTTTGTTTTCAGCTGCATATAAAAAATGTGTGCCAGAGAAACTTGCATTCGAATTGCATTTTAAAAATTATAGTAGTCTCATTTCCTTAGTTGCTGTTCTGCCACATGGCTAGAAGTTTAATCGCCTATTTCATTAGTACTGTAGCAGCCAGTCTTCCATGCTTAGAACTGTGAAAAAGCTCCCAATGATAAGAAAAAGATCGTGCATTCCCTTAACTAGTTTTGAGGTTGAATTCCTCCCAACAGGTTACTCCAAAGTTCTTCAGCAATTCTTCAGCAAAAAAATGTGTTAAACATTAAAGAGCTTTAAAGAGCTTTAATGAACACCAAGAAAAAAAAATGAGGATAATTGCCCCAAATAAACCTCTTTCCCCTTTAGCTTTCTATTTCCATCCACTCCCCGCTCACATTTAAATATATCCCCTCTGTTTCTGGTACCCATGGGATACTTGTTCTGGACAAACTGGAAAATCATTTGTAGTAAATTAAAGGGGGGGGATCCTTACAAATTACTCACTGTTAATTAAATAACTTGATTCTGTCCATTGAAGCTAATGCATTAAAGTATTTAATGTTTGTTTGGTAAACTGTTTTACTAAATGCTCCTTTGACTTTTATTGGTAATAAACATTAGCATTTATGGCCCATGAAAGCAGCTTCAACATCTAGCTTATGCTGTTGCTATTTACAATTTGATAATGAAATACCATTAGTGGGTTCCACATGCCTCACTTCTCTCGCCTCTTCCCTCCCCACCTCCGTCCTTCATGCAGGCCATTCACACAACACACACAGTGAACCACTTACAAGATTATCCCCCAAAGGAGATTGCCAATGCAAACTCATCCTGGCTGAGCAAATATTTTGCTAACAGGAGGCTCAGTGTTCTAATATTCAGCTTGCCTTTCTCATCCTGTAATGTAGGCGTATTTCTCCCTTGTATCCTTTAATGAGGCCAAAGAAAATAATCAGTCTCCCTGTTCACTTTTAATTTTTCTGAACAGTGAGATGTTCCAGGGGAAATACAACTGAGGTTCGGTTTCCCAACGGACAAGAGAAAACTGGAGATTTAAAATTATGGTCAGAATCCTAGAATAGCTACTTACTTAAGGAG